TACACATATCATGTACAAGCACAAACACATACGTATTAAAACATGCATGTTCAAGTAAGTGTAGTACATGTATCATGTATATACCGGTATGTATATGTACAAGTATATAAGCATATGTGTATTAGAGCATGGGGTATAATATTAGGAACATACAGCATGTACACTACATGAATGTACACAATACTTACCACATTTGTAAGTATAATATGGACTACATGTACAAATACACTATAAGTACAATGTACATGTACATGTATATAAGTGCGTTGTACATGCTATACATTAACTGAGACAGCATTCTTACCAGGAGAGTTTACTTAACGAGTCCAGTATTTCAGGTACTGTCATTTTTCTCAGAACCACTGATATCTATTAATAGGAAAAATTTATCAATAAACTACGTAATAATAATAATTAATGATTAAATACAGTATAGTTTCTATTGTATATGTATATACATGTATTCAATAACATACCCAGTCACCATTATAAAATCATCAGGTTGCAGCAGTTGATCATCTCCAGCTGTTTCAATGAATAATGTTTCAAACCAAAAGAGTTTTATTTTTATTCTCTTTGCTATAAAGGAGAGAGAGAGAGAGAGAGAGAGAGAGAGAGAGAGAGAGAGAGAGAGAGAGAGAGAGAGAGAGAGAGAGAGAGAGAGTGAGTGAGTGAGAAGGAGGGATAAAATAGAGTGAGGGACAGTGAATGTTAATTATTACAGTCAGGAGTTACTCTAGCATTGACTATAAATTTTAATGCATTTATTATGTAAGTCCCATTTTAAACTATTGAACAATTTGAAATTTGGGGGCTTAAATCATATTAATACATCTGTAACAATAGCACATTAAATACCCATTGAATGTCTGTCTATGTCCTTCATGTGTATCTTGTTTGTTAAAGCTGGAAGGCTAAGCCAAAATTGTGTCATACAGTAGAACTAACAATTAGGGTTAAAACAAGACATGAATGTTGGATATATTTTATGGAATCAAAAAAATTGGCTGATTCTATTGAAAACAAAGCTAGGATCTAAAGTCATTAAATACTAGATCAATATTATGTACAAATATAATCTAACAGCAAGCAGCGGAATACTAAAAACCTTGTACATAACAATACTAATATTATGGAAGCAACATAATCAATTAACTTGTGATAGTTTGCTTGGTTCCTTCTTGTTCTATCTTTTCCTTTGCGTCATCTATTATAGCTATGAACTCTTCACTAAGGACAGGGAGATATGTCTTTGATTCCTTATAATCTGGGTTATCCTTAATGTATTCATAGAGCTCAAAACAGCTGATCAGCTGCATTAATTCCATTGTATGCTATTTTTATAAACTTGCCAACATGTCCTCAACAAATTTTTTGAGGTCTAAATCACCAGTGAGCCTTTTTAAGAGCAAGAACAAGTTGGGATGAAAGGTTAGGATCTGAAAGAAGTTAGTGATTCTCACCATTAATGACTATCTCTGATGTGAATTAATCTCCAAAGCCAGAAGCCATAGTTGTTTGAAACTTGTTGGATATTAACTGAGAATATACCCATAAATTTGATTGAGTTTATTCATGGTCTAACTCACTGTGCACATAACATTGCATGGTAAGTGTGATTCATGGAGCATGAATTTATGTTGTTGTTGTTTATAGCCTAAAGCTGATATGGCAGACTTCTAGGAATTAGGAAAATATGCTTACCACAAGATCAGCATAAGCATTATTCCAAGAAATCATACATGCAGGCAATAAAAGGACCATATGCAAATGACACAGCCAAATAAAGTTCAAGCAACTGGTGGCATTGCAAATTTGTATATTTGAGAAAGTAAGTCATTAGAGCATTATGAATAATCATTTTCATGTCATAGCTTTAGTAATATTCTTTTGCCTCTTAACCATGGCATCTCCACAGCAAAGAAGTAGCGAAGCTGGTAAATAATAATAATAGTTAACGTGCACTTATTTTGTTGATTGATAGAGCAAATTTTGATGTCTAAGGGTGGGTGGGCACAATGTGAACATTGCAAGGCGAAACTGTTATCATGTAGTGTAAAATATCATGAGAAAATATGTCCAATGGCACTAGATGCCAATCCAGGTATTAATTTAATATAACTATGAGTATATGCTTAATGGTGTGTATTTTAGATCCAATAATATATAAAGCAAGGACATGCATCAAAAAGGCTAAAGATACACACAAAAGTATTACTGAAATTCAAGAGCAAGATACTGTTGATAAGGCTGCAAGAGTCGATGCAGCATTGCAAGATTTAAAGTCTCTAAAAAAAGATGGAGAGTTTCTCATTAAGGTTTCAGAACAGGAGAGGGATAAGTTTGCCACACAGGAGCAACAGTATGAAAAAGAGCTTGAGTCTTTAACCAAAGAAAAAGAAAAATACGAGAAGGAGAAAAGGGAGAAAGAGGCACAGAAAAACTCACTAGAAGCACAATTGCATACTTTGACAGCCAATCAAGATAATTGTCAAAGAGCATTTAATGATGCTCAATCAAGAAAGATTGAGGCTGACAATAGCTTGAAAAAAGCGAGAGACAAACTAGAGAAAGAAAAGAGGGATAAGGAACGAGCACAAGGTACTGGTGCATTTTTTGGTGCAGTTGTTGGAACACTTGCATTTCCACCTCTTGGAGGAGTGGTTGGAGGAGCACTTGGAGCTGGTGTTGGAACTGCAGTAGCTAACAGTGATGTCAAATCGGCAGAAAATCATGTTTCTGATTGTCTGAAACAGTTTTCAAGTGCTGAGAATAGTTTAAATTCTGCCAGAAATTCCCTACAATCATCAATTAATCAATGTCAAGTATCTATCACTCAATGTGATAAAGAATACAAAGAATGCCATGTGAAAATTAGCTTTATCAAGAAATTATTAACATTTCTATTAGATGCTATTTGCTTTTGGGGTATTTTCATTAATGAATCTAAAAATGCTGAAGAAGAAACAAGCCACCTTGAAGAAATTATAAAAATAACAGAAGAAAAAAAAGAGTATGACCTTATTTTATCTGATGGAACTAAAATATCAGCAAACTCATTTCTGGAGGCATGGGAAAAATTTGCAAAGCATGAAAAGCTAATAGTTGCTTCTACTGATGAAAGTGAAACTCATCCACAGCCTCTACCTGCTGCTAATTAGAATTGCTACTACATGTACATGTACAAGTAGGTATAATGTTAACTATAAATATTACCAATAGAGTAGATGACTTTTGTTTATTTGTTACAATTGTTTATACTATTTGTGCTAATTCTAGTAATTTTTCTAAGCTTTGTATGTAATTTATCTTGAGTTAATAATAATATTTTGAAACTGTTCAAACTAACACATAAGTAATATAATAAATTTTGATAGGTGGATACAATAAAAAAGACTGGCAAATGTGTCCAAATAATTTCTGGGGTATGGCTGAAAAAAGTTGATAATCTAAATTTGATTATTAGATATACATGTATATCTCCTTTGGCATTTTTTACTAGGCATATGGTAATTAACATTGGGTGAAGTATGACAAATACCATAAATAATATAGCTGAAGTTTATGCTCAAAAGATAGGATGCTAAATTGGCGTCTAGCAGTGAGTTCAGGATTGCTTAGGCCAGAGAACATGAGTTTCCTCGATTTTGCTCACCTGCATTTTTAATGAATGACTAAACTTCTTACGCTACAGTGCATAAAAATGGTATGATGTAAAAATCATCCCTCTGTGATGAATATACTAGGAGTTTTGACTGACAGAAAGAAGGAGCAGAAAGTACATTGTACTTTTAAATGTACATATTCATATCTTTCCTGTGAATGACGTTTCTGATTAATAATGATATTTATTGGGACACCGTAAATAGAAAATTTTTCAGGCTGCCATTGTGGAGGTATTGTTGCACTGTTTTCAATGGAGCTCGATACACTTCTACCTTTTTGTAAGGAGAGCAAGCAGTACTAGCCTCAAAAGTGAAAATTGCAACCTTTACCTTCCTTTTCATAGGTCTGCAACTGTTTGGAGCCACTGGAGTGACGTGGAGAAGTAGAATTGACAAATTTTAGCCTGTCGATCCATTATAGCAAGTGATAGTATACCTCCACAATGGCTGCCTGAAAAATTTTCCATTTATGGTATGGTATCCCAATGAATATCATTGTAAATCAGAAATATCATTCACAAGAAAGATATGAATACAATGTACCTTAAGGTACTTTTAAATGCGGGTACTATTAATTGCAAATTTTGTGTTTGGGTTAAAAATCGCAAATATTAATATGCGCAATTATTAATAATGACATCATGATGCCATATAACTATTAGTAATAATTACTTAATTGCAATTTTAATACCAGCAAAATCTACCTTGGCTAAAATTGCAAAATTTAGTACCCGCAATTAAAAGTCACTCTAAGGTAGTTTTACTGTTTATACCATGGTGTGTGGGTGGCTACCATGGAAACCTTTGATGTTTAGCTGGAGTTGTATGCCCATATCTAGCCACCCTGCACAGTGTGGAATTTGACAGTTTACATAAGAACAATACAGCGATGAAGAGAGTAGGGTTTCACAGTTTACATAAGAACAATACTGCAATACTTTATCATGGCATAAGTCTCTGTCTGGAGGTGGTTATGGGTACATAACTCCCACGAGATAAGTGGTCGAGGGAGTTATGCCTCGACCACTTATCTCGGGAGTTATGTACCCATAACCACCTTCAGACAGGAATGTATCCTACACATAATGTATTATAAATAAACTAAGACAGGTTGTCTATCTTAAAGTGATGCATGTTCACTTACTACCATACAACAAAAGAATCAAATTATAGTAATATAGAGTGTAACATTATACACATATCATGTACAAGCACAAACACATACGTATTAAAACATGTATGTTCAAGTAAGTGTAGTACATGTAAGTACATATATCATGTACATACCAGTATGTATATGTACAAGTATATAACCATATGTGTATTAGAGCATGGGTTATAATATTAGGAACATACAGCATGTACACTACATGAATGTACACAATACTTACCACATTTGTAAGTATAATATGGACTACATGTACAAATACACTATTAGTACAATGCACATGTACATGTATATAAGTGTGTTGTACATGCTATACATTAACTGAGATAGCATTCTTACCAGGAGAATTTACTTAATGGGTCCAGTATTTCAGGTACTATCATTTTTCTCAGAACCACTGATATTTATTAATAGGAACAATTTATCAATAGACTACGTAATAATAATAATTAATGATTGAATACAGTATAGTTTCTATTGTATATGCATATATACATGTATTCAATAACATACCCTGTCACCTTTTTAAATTCATTAGTTTGCAGCAGTTGATCATCTTCAGCTGTTTCAATGAATAATACGTCTTGAACCAAAAGAGAGTTTTATTTTTATTCTCTTTACTATAAAGGGAGAGAAAGAGTGAGTGAGAAGGAGGAACAAAATAGAGTAAGGGACAGTGAATGTTAATTATGACAGTCAGGAGTTACTCTAGCATTGACTATGAATTATAATGTATTTATTATGTAAGTTGTATTTTAAACTATAAAACAATTTGAAATTTGGGGGCTTAAATCATATTAATACATCTGTAACAATAGCACATTAAATACCCATCGAATGTCCTTCATGTGTATTTGTTTGTTAAAGTTGGGAGGGGGGGGTTAATCCCTACTTTAAAAAGTTAGGTAGGGCTTCAGCCATTCCTAGGCCTCCTGCCTACCCTGTTCCTACCCCTATGGTCAAAACCAATGCAAGTTTTAGTCTCCTGAAATTTTCTGACTTTTAATTGAAAGATTCTGACTCAAAGAACTGGGAGACAAAATATCGGCCCCATTTTGTGAGGATTAATTAATTAATAATACTTTACTATTATTAATTATGCATGTGCCATTTATTTATAATTATTGTACTGAAAAAGTTATAGGAGAGGATTCATTAATATTCACCATTACTATTATTATTATAAATATAGTTCTATAGTACTGCACATGCTCAGTAGAGCTGTGTAGATTGGAGAAGAGATTTGTTTGCTATAGCTACAACAGCTACAACTTGCAAGCAGAAAATTTCTCAAAAAGACACCACTGTGGTCCAACACCAAAATTTACAGCACGCAAATAAAAAATTGTAATTTTATACAGTTGAACTAACAATTAGGGTTAAAACTAGAGATGACTGCCAGATAAATCCTATGGGATAAAAAGAAAATATAAATTTTGGCTTATAAAGCAGATTTTATTGAAAAAAAGCTAGGGGCTATACTAGATCAATATTATGTGTAGATAAACTAACAGCAAGTAGCGGAATATTAAAAACCTTGTACATAATAATACTAATATTATGGCAGCAAGAAAATATTAATTAGTTCTTGTTAGTTTGCTTGGCTTCTTTCTTGTTCTATCCTTTTCTTTGCTTCATTTATTATAGCTATGAACTCTCTAGCAAGGATAGGGAGACGTTCCTTTGACTCCTTATAATCTGGGTTATCCGTAATGTACTCGTAGAGATCAGCACGTGTCAGATCTATTTGCTTTTGGTAGGTTTTGCATACATCATGGAGAGCTATCCATCTTGCATGATAAAGCACAGCTTCCCGAATAAAGCCTTTGCTTCTCCAATGTGCTTTCTTTTCCTCTACACTCATGCCTTTAGCATCTTCTATTAGTTCAGCTAAAAAACCTTCAGACAGACTTTCACAATGTTTTTGAATATGCTTCCAAAATTTTGCAGCTTCCATCATGACGACAGATAAATGCCTTAGAGCTCCTGCAGCTTCATGCAATGATTGTATTGCAACATCGGCCATGTCACCGTCAGTCTTCAATTCCTCTATCATGCTAGCAAACTCAGACATTTTTTGTAATGCTTCTAGATGACTTTGCCTCTTCTGTTCCTCAATTTCAGCTTTTTCTCTGGCTTTATCACCATATCTTTTAGCCCGTTCATCTGACGCTCTCTTTTCTTTATTAAGTGCACCATCAATGGATTCACTGGCAAACGGAAGAGCAACAGTCAAAACTGCAGCAAAGACACGAAGAACACCAGACACTTGATGACCATCTATCTCCTTAATTTCTTTTTCTTCATACTTTAATTTCTCTTGTCTTGCTTCTTCAGCTAGCTTATAATGCCTTTCAGCCAATTCCTCTTGCAATTTCTTTTCACGTTCCATTCTTTCTTTTCTTTTCATTATCTCGTCTTTATAAATTTTTTCCTCACCTCTTCGTTTCATAGTTTCCTCAAGTGTGTACTTTACTCTATCACCTTGCTCTTCAAACTTTCCTTCTAGCTCAGAAGCAAGTTTTGCCATTTTTTCTGCCATCTTGCCTAATGAGGTAAGGGACTTTAATGCAGCACTATCATATCCATCCAACAAAAATTGATAAACTGTTTGGAGTCTGTAAGAAACAGTTTCAGCTGTCCCTCGAAAGCTATCAATAGTTACAGAAGAATTGTTGCAGAGTTTAGTAATGTCATAACCCAAACTTTGTACTTTAATCTGGAGGTCTGTAAACCTAGGTCCAGCTGCATTGATTCCATTGTACGCTATTTTTATAAACTTGCCAACATGTCCGATGTACTCAACTAATTTTTCAAGGTCTAAACTACCAGCCAGGCTCCCTTTATGAGCAAGAACAAGTTTAGATGAAGGGTTAGGAGCTGAGAGAAGTGAGTGAATCTCAGTTTCACCATCAATGTCTATTTCTAACGTAAATGAATCTCCAGAACCAGAAGCCATTTTGGTTTGGATATAGATCAACACTAAAATATTATTCTAATATACTTTTGATCAAACTTATTCATGGTATGACTATGCTTTTACATTGTGTGGTAAGTGTGATTCATGAAGTATGAATTTTGTTATTGGTGTTGATGTTTACTGTTGATATGGCAGACTTCTGGGAATG